ATAATTAATTTGTTAGCGGTATGACCATCAAATTTTGGCGTAATTACTGGGGACTTGTGTTCAAATTTATTGTTTCTTAATATTCTAATTATTTTTATATTTTTTTAACAAAACTCGGTATTCTCAATAGTTTGGCTCTCAATATGACCTACAATTTGAGAGATTCAAAGATATAAAATTATCTTCTATTGAGTAACAGATTGTTAATCTAACCTCTTTAGTGTGTCAAATGGTTATAAAAAATGTGCAACAAGTCTATAATTGTGGTATATATTCGATGCTAGGGCATTCATCTCATATATGTCCAATGCTTCAGGAAAAACCTATTGATATATATTATATCATAAGAGGATTTTTAAAACAACCACAATACCAATATAATCCTTACTTTAGTAGTTATAAGAATCAAATGGTTGACAATATAAATCACAACCATCAAAGATATCAACAAGTGCAACCACCATTCCAAACTAGATTATTTCTCCAAATCAAGTATATCTCTTAAGGATATTGTTAATTCTATTATGACTAATACTCGTATAATTTTAGTTGGAAACAAAAGCTAGCCTTCAAAATTCTAAGGTTCAAGTATGTCAATTGGCTATACTAGTACGTGGGATAGTTGCATAAGCTGCAAGCAATTTAGCCGTTGAAATAAAAATAAGTTCGAAAGAATATACAAGTGTAGTAAGTAAGGGAAAGGATGTGTTTGAAAGAGTAAGTTGTTGAAGCTATCAAAATAGAGCTAATTTGTAAAAAATAGCAGAACAAGATTGTGTTTGTTGATGAACTAGTCAAGCAAGAAAATGACATTGAACAAATAGACTTGAAAAATATTTATGACATTCCCACTATTGAATTTTTCCTTCCAAATGAGTTCAATAATGATGCTAATAAAATTGAGTTTTTCTTGCCATTATTGCTTATTATTTTGTAGGTCTTGTTCATGCCGTTATCACTTTTAATTCTTCATTATTTCAAACTTTGAGGAAGGATTTTCTCTAATGATGTGAATGTGATATGTCATTCGGGACTAAAGTCAAGGAGCCACATATGAGAAATTCTTGGAAGTGCATTTTGGGTGTCAAGTTTCACATGACCAGATTTGTTTGAGGATTAAACAATACCAACGTTGAGCCAACGACATTAAAAAAACACTTATTCGCGAGCAACCTAATGAATTTCTTTTAAATTTTGTTGTTTTGTTGTCTTAGTTAATGTTTAAATTAGTTTTATTTAATTTTTATCTAAATTTCCTCCATGCTTGACTTGATTTTGAGAATGTGTGAAGATAAGTGTTTTTTAGCTTTGTAAGAAAGAGAAGAAAAGAAGACCACATGGGCATTAGAAAGAGGCATGACATGTGTATTGTCAAAAGCATACCCGTATGAGAGCATTGTGTTTTAAAGTCCACATTGAAGGAGAAGAGGCACGAGCGACAAGGCATGGACATGGGTTGCCCTTCAAAAAGGTATGCCCGTGTGATCGAGTTATGTTGCACTTCCAAGATAAAAGAGAAAAAGCATGGGCAATTGCTTCGGACATGGGTTGTGCACCAAATTCAGCATGTTTGTGTGTCCCGGACTAAGCATTTCAATCTCTAAGGAAGAAAAGAGACACGAGTAGTGGGAAGTTGCATGATTTGTATGAAAAAATTCCTATGGTAGTGTGGATTATAAATTGTTGCAATGAAGAGAAAGAGGAAAGGAGACATGGGCGTGTGTCTCTAACTATCCTTTCATCCACCACCTCCATTTTGAGTGCTGCAATTCATATTTGATCTCTTACCCCTACCCTTTATATTTCATTTATCAATGTTGAATTCTATATCACATTGAGGACAACGTAAAATTTAAGTGTGAGGGAGGGATTCGAGTGTTTGTATGTTTTATGTTTAATTTTTTTTAGGTTATTTATCTAAAAAAATGAAAAAAAGATGAAATGAATGCCATGTTCAGTATGTTATCCTTCTTAATTGATGGTTGACGAAGAGTTTTAACAAAATCTTATTAGAAATTTGAAACTATTTGGAATATTTTTATTGTGGACGTGTATGCATGCTAGAAAGATTTATATGTCTTTATGATTAAGCATGATTTGTGAAGTGATTCTTATGTTGAAATTATAATTTGAAACTAGGCCAAAGTAAGATTTAAGTAAACAAGATTTTTAAACTATTATGAGAATTTGAAAAGAAAATAAAAAGAAAGCATTCCAAATAGAAAGTTGGCCTTACCGAGTGAAAATCTACTCTAATTTTTTAAGTTGCTTACTAACTAGGAGTATTCATCATAGATATTTACTTTTACATTAAAAGGCAACTTGAATTATGAGTATGCAAGTCACTCTCGGTTTATGACTTGCTGAGTCAATGATTGCTTTCACCATAAATGTTAGTAGTCGCTTAAAAAAGTGAGTGATTACTTACGAAAGAACGATTAAAAGCCTTGAAAAAGGATTGGAATGCTAAAGTAAGAAAGTTTTTTTAAAAAAAAATCTTGATTTACTACTCTTACTTATGGTATTGGAAAGGGGTAAGGGCAAAATAAATATTACATGCTTAAATTATATTGGTTATAAAGATGCATAAATCGATTTAGAGACATGCATGGACATGAGAACAATATCTTTAAGCATGGTCGGTTGGATTATTTGATTTTGTTGAATTTTGAGTTAAGAATTAATACTTAAAAGATAATCATACTAGCATGACTTTCATTTAAGATTTTATTGATATATCTTCTAAAAACCCTCAAGAAACTTAGCTTGTCCACTAAAGGTAAGTTAGGGGGTTTAAAGGCTTATTAATCGTGATTCTTACAAAAGTAAGTTAACTTTTTATTTATTTTGTTTGAGGACTAGCAAAATGTAAGTGTAGAGGTATTTGATAGGTGCATAATTTACACAACTTTTATGCCCTTTTACATTAAACTTACTATTGCTTATTGTATTGTATTAAGGTATTTCGGAACAAGATAATGACTTTGGGTTTTTATGAGAAAAATGATAAATTGAAGTGAATAAATCCAAACCAAAGTGCATAAGAAGCCAAACCACAAAAGAAGTAAAGAAGTCACGTGGCCGTGTGACCTAAAAGAGAAAAAAGCTACTAGCCATGTGAAAAAAAAAAAAGAAAACCGTGTGGATGTTCAGCGAAAGAAGACACACAAGCATTAGCAATCCACATGGCTTGAGCAAGAGAAGTGACAAGTATGTGCGAGTCAAGGCTAAGATGTCTTCTAAGTAGGAAAAAAATGACACATAGGCAGAAACTAAAGGACAAGGGATGAAGAGCAAATTAAGAACAACCGTGTACTTCGGCCAAGCAAGTCGTGTGATACCAGCTCTTTAAGGCTCCAAGCTGTGTAAAACAAAAGAACAAGTCGTGTGATCATGTGAGGCTACCATGTGTATGTTGTAACCCTACCTTTTTTTATAAATAGAGAAGTTAAGGTTTCACTTTATTGATTCTAGGGATTCCCCTATTCTTGCGACCACTATAGATAGAAATTCTCTCTTATAAGTGAACTATGTATCATTAAGGATATTTCTTGATTGAAGGAAAGTTAAACCTTTTAGTAAAATCATTGTGAGATCTTAATGAGTTCTATTTCTAATCTTATTCTTTTTAGGTATTTTATGTTTTTCTATATGATATGAATATGGTTGTATGGTTAATTGATTAGAGAGTACGTTAGTTGATTAATCATTATAATCTATTGCTATCCAAGTATTCAAGTTCATAATTGCTTGTCTAAACTTGCTTGAGGTGGCAACTAGTGGTTAATGATATAAATGAATTTTTGTTTAATCCTTTGAAAAACATATTAAATTCTTCTAACGTCTAGGAGGGTTGTTTAGCTTCACCTATCTTTCTATTATTTAATGTTGTTATTGGATTAAATATAGATAGCATCTATTAGGTTATTCAATAGTTAGAGATTAATCAAATAACGTTTATTTGATTAACGAATCACTAAGAAAAGATCGAGAGATAGCATATATGTTGTTATCTTACGATGAATATTCATAATGAGAATAGACTAATATATGAATTAATGATCAACGATTGAACCAAAAGTGGAGACCAACCATTAACCAAGGCTTTCATTATTATTGTTATCTCTCCATTTACTTTTGTTTACTTTAATACTCTCTTTTTTCTTTACTTTACTTTGAAACAATTAGAAGATAAAGAACACGGATTGAACCATTTCTCTATGAGATCGATCCCGACTTACCCTAACTATAATTTTGTGATTGGATTTAATGAAGAAAAAAAATAATTAATTTATTGATGGTATGACATGTTCTTAAATTTTGATGTCGTTGTTAGAGACTTATGTATAATATTGTTTAATAATTAATAAAAATAGAAAATAATTAATTTGTTCGTAAAGCTCCTCAAAAGATCAAAAAAGCCACGAGGCCTAAGTATAGGGATGGCAATGGGGCGGGGCGGGGACGGGGATCCCCGCCCTTAAAAAATTTTCCCCGTGCCCCGAACGGGGTAAAATTTCCCATACCATCCCCGCCCCAAACGAGGACGGGGATCCCCGCGGGGCAAACGGGGAAAAAATTAATTTTTTTTTATTTTCATCTCATTTTATCCAATTCTACTACTAAAAGTTAAATTATAGCAAAAAAATAATTTATATAGAAAATAAACCATAAAAGTCACTAATTATATATTTTATACGGGGTATAATTATAATTTTAATGAAAAAAAAAGGGGCAAACGGGGCGGGAAAGGCAAATCCCATCCCCGCCCCGTCCCCGCTCGCGAGGCACCCTGCCTCGCCCGTTCCCCGATCAATGCGGAGAATCCCCCGCATTGACTAGGGAAAATTGACGTGGGGCGGGGCGGGGTAAATTGCCATCCCTACCTAAGTAATAAACTACCTGATCTAAATAAATAAAAACCAAAACCGAATTTATGGAAATCAGGCCGGGCATAATTGTGTCAATACCTTCGTCTTATCTAGTTTCTTTTTCTAGTACTATTTGACTAAAGACAACTTGCTGGGCTCAATGACACCTGAAGTTGTTCCATCAGCATTGCTGCAAGATGCACGAGCTGGTTGATTGTTGAAAGTGAGCTTCACATCCTCCATTTTGATCCCAGTGCAAGGAAACTTTTTACTACACTCAGATTTCACTGCAACCTGCGTTGCTGATGTTCCATGTATGTCTTGGTATGTCACATCACTGATTTTAACTAGAAAAGCCTGTTTAACACAAATTAACAATGAACGGTTTATAGCAACTTAAAAGTAGTCCCTATTAACCAAATCTTAAAGACTAGGACAAGCTAAAACTACAAAAAAGATTGGGTTTTTGAAAGATCAAAAGAAGTGACAGCTTAGTGGAAAATGGGATTTAATTTAACCTACCTGGCCAGGGCAATTTTTGCTGTCAGGGCAGTAGTTTTGGTCAATAATAATGGGATTCTGAACATTGGTCATGATAGCATGCTGGAAAAGCACATTCCTAACAAAATCATTGCTAGGTCTTCCCCAAGACTTGATCCTCAACCCATTTTGAGTGCCAATAAATGTACGGGTTTTAACTCTCACATTCTGCACCCCAAACTCCAATGCTGCAAAAAATATCACAGATGTTTAAGTCCCACATATTCATAGCATCATCTTATTAATTATGTATACGATTAATTAATGATGTAATTTCATTAACTGATTCCATGGCCAGGGCCACACACAACATTTTCAATCCACAAGTTTGTTGTGCCGGCACCAATTGAGACACAATCATCGCCGGTTCCGATCTTGGAGTTCAAGATTGCGACATTGCTTGACAATTGTACATGAATGCCGTCGGTATTCGGATTTTTTTCAGAAGCACTAACCCTAACTCTTTGAATTCTCACATCGTTGCAGCCATTGATAACAATGTGGAACATTTGGCTATTCAAAGAAGTTAATCCATTGATCACTATGTTGTTTGAATCGAAAAATCATAGTGTCTGCATATGCACATAAATAATTACAATTAGAATGACATTTTAAACAATTAATCAAATCTTTGAAACGTAATTAAGGATTTAATTAACTACACCACCTAATTAAGAAAATAGTTAACCTTTGACTTTCTTAATTAATTCATGCTTACAATTAGGGCTTAAGTGAATACTAAAGGTTGCTTGGTCAAAATATTGACCATGGACAAACCGTGGCACCACTTGGGCAATTCTTGCCAGATTGCTTGCAATTCCACAAACCAGAGCCATGGCCATCCAGTACCCCACCAGAAACTGTAACACCATCAACATTCTGAAAGAAAATCCAGTTTCCAGCGTTACCGATAACTCGATAATCGGTCGAAGCTAGAAGTGTGCCATCTATACGTACAACAATCGCATTGTTCTTGCATGGACCCTTAAATTCTACATTTTGAAGCAAAAACCTGCCAGCTGCGACATAAATGGTAGATTGGCTAATAGAGCCACATGCTAGTGTCCAAGCAGCAAGAAAGGCCTTGGTTGAGTCAGTTCTCCCATCTGGCTTTGCCCCATAACTTAGAACATTGTATTGCGCTGCACTAGCTGAAAATGACGTAAAGAATATAACAAGAAGTGCAAGACGCAGAGAAGAGCTTAATCTATTTGCCATTTTTTGCTTGATAAAGAACTGTTTGATTAATTTGCTGAAGTTGAGAGAGAGATGATCAGAAATAGAGAGAAAGTTAGAGAATTTTGAGAGTGGTGGTAATGGTGGTGGAAATGAAAGGGTTTAAGGGTGTATTTATAAGGTTAATTAACTCATTGCATTACAAGAATAAGAACCAAAGCTGTGCCGAAATCTATGAGAGGGATCAGTTTGGCTTTTTGATGCTGCATGATTCTTCTGTTTTCCATATTTCTTTATAGAAATGCCTTTACTTGCAGCTTCGATGGCTTGCATTTATGGTTAATTCAACTTTTCTATCCAATTAGATTAATTTATTAATTAATAGTGTTCACAATAAATCTTTGTAATACTACCGTGTTTATTCTCAGAGTTATACATCTTGTCTTAACAACTTTTCTTCAATAAATTATGAAGATGCATATAAGCAAGTATAGATTTCTGCACCGATGGATAGGTTTTTCATGTTTAAATTAATATATTTATAAAAAATTTCTTTCTCGTAGTCTTTCGTTAATTGATCTCCATTTTATATAAACTTTAATTTAATATAAGTCAAATGGTCTAAATTTCTTTAGAAATTCAATTCATTTGAAAATCAGTTCTTAAATCTTTAATTTTGTATTAAACTTTTCTTTAACTAATTTTATTAAAAATTAAATCATTTTATTAGGTTTTCATTGATATTATGATAAAAGTACACTTAATTTGCACATGATTAACTTTTAACTTTTTGGATTGTTAAAAATATGTCATAACTTATGGATGTTTGCTTTTCCTTTTAATACTAGTTTATTTCCTTTTACATGCTAAGAAGTAATCAGTTGAATTTTTGACATGTTTTTAAATATTGAGAAATTGCACTTATCTCTTAGAATTGAAAAAATCCTAACAAAATGATTTAATGCTAAATGTAAAATAATTGACGGGAGGTCCACTCCAAGAATAAAAACTAAAAAACTAATTTTCAAATAACTTAAAATTCAAGAAAAACTGCAAAATTTGGCCTTTAATATAAGATATAGTTAGGTAATTAAATATATAATAATAATTTCTTCTTGCTAGAAAACTAAGCAAAAAGTTCGTTAATTAGTTAAGGCTATCTAGCTTTGTGTTTCTTGCAAGGTAGTATCTTCAAGTTCTAAATCACGTTTGCTTACATTCACTTCACGAGGTTATAATTTTGATTTTATACATTTAGATATGGATTGTGGGCTCAACGGAGTTTATATTAAGGACAAATTAATGTACGATACTAAGGATTAAATTAAAATTAATTGTGATCAGCATTGATCAAGTTATTAAATAAATTAGTTTTTCAAATAAAAGGACTAATCAATTCTTTTCTTATAAATAAGGGACTAATTTATAATTTCCTCCCTTTGAAATTAAAACTCCCATTTCAAGCAGCCTTAAGAAATTTAAAAGAAAAAAGAGGTAAAAGTTATTGAAAGATTGATAAAAAGATGATACATTTTATAAAATAAAAAATATTAAATTAATTATGATCAACATTGATTAAAAGGATTAAATAATTAGATTTTGAAATCATGGGGACTAATTAATTTTTTTCTTGAAAAGAGCGGGACTAATTTATAATTTACTTTAAATGTGCAAGGATTGGGTTGGGAGTAGATTATAAATTAGTCCCTCTAAATTCAAAAATACAAATTAATTAGTCTTTCTTATTTCAAAAATTAATTATTTAGCCTTTGTATTTTTAAATCTACTCAGCACTTAGTTCTTTTTACTCTTTTTTAATTTATTTTTATTTTTTTAATTTAAAAATAGAAACAGAAAAAAAAAATTGAAAGAATTATGAGAAAAAAAGATATTTTGAAAATAAAATAATATTAAATTAAGTCTGATCAACACTAGTTAAAAGACTAAATAATATTTTTTAAAAAAAATAAGGATTAGTTAATTTGTTTCTTAAAACTAAAGGGACTAATTTATAATTTACATCGATAGCTCCCACTCTCTCTCTCTCTCTCTCTTTCTTAGTTACCGTAAATTTACTTAGAATTTTGAAGTAGCATCTAAGTGATGAAAAAGTTTGTTTTTCAATTACCTTAGTTTCAAAAATCAATCATTTAATCATTTTTATTATTTTTAATTTATTTTAATTTTTTAAAAAAATATAAAAAATAAATAAAAACTATTGAAAAATTGATGAGAAGAGGATACATTTTGTAAAATAAAAAATAATAAATTAATCATGGTCAACATTGGTTAAAAAAATTAAATAATTAGATTTTAAAACCATGGAGACTAATTAATTTTTTTATTTTTTTAAAAAAAGAGGGACTAATTTATAATTTACTCCAAATGTGCAAGGATTGTGTATGGAGTAGATTATAAATTATTCCCTCTAAATTCAAAAATACAAATTAATTAGTTTTTATTGTTTCAAAAAACTAATTATTTAGTCTTTATGTTTTTAAATCTACTCGTCACTTAATTCTTTTTACTCCTTTTTAATTTATTTTTATTTTTTAATTTAAACAATAGAAAGAGAAAAAAATGGAAAGAATGATGAGAAAAAAGATATTTTGTAAAATAAAATAATATTAAATTAAATCGATGAACACTAATTAAAAGACTAAATAATAATTTTTAAAAGAATGAGGATTAGTCAATTTGTTTCTTAAAACTAGGTGCACTAATTTATAATTTACTCATTGTGTAAGATATATTAGAAGAAGAAAAAAAGCTAATATTGATAACTCCCTCTCTCTCTCTTTTTCTTAATAACCATAAATTTAATTAGAATTTTGAAGTAGCATCTAAGTGCTGAAAAAGTCTATTTTTCTGTTACCATCTAAAATTTAAATATAAGAATGTCAATTTATATGTAAATGACCTAATTAAAGCTGATTGAAAAAAAATATATATCTTTATATGTGAAAACTATTTTTTTTAAATACTATATAAAAAAAATCGATAATGCATGTAACACAAATCCAACTAGTTGGGCCGGACACTCTATCTATCATTCTTGTAATTTTTTTTTATTTTAATGTGGCTATTTATTTATTTGGTTCTTTTTATTTTAAAAATTTTTTAATGTGACTTTTCCAATAAAATTTTGGTTAATTTTTCGTGATAAATAAACTGTCACATCAAGTAATAATGATATCGATAAAAAAATTAATTTTAAAAAATAAATTGCATGATCGTATTTGTTACATTAACGAGTTATAGGTAGACATGGTAACGGTTCCTAAACCGTCGGTTTCGGTTTAGGAACCGCGGTTAAGGTTTCACCAAAAGGTGAAACCTTAACCAAACCATCTATGGACGGTTTCAATTTTGGTTTGAAATCGTAAAACCGACGGTTTGAAACCAACGAGTTCAACGATTTTTTTATTAAATGAAAAAATAAAAAAAAATCGAACATTTTTTCTCAACATTAACATTGAAACGAAAAAACTTCTTTTTGCATAATGTATAAATATTATAATATTTTTTACATTATAATGTATTTCACACAATAAATCAAAGAAAAAAATAAATAAATAAATAAGGGCTTGAACTTAATTTTTGTAAACACTACAAAAATTAAGCTTCCTACGTATCCTCTTCGGGTTTAGAGGAATCAAAGCTTACGTAGTTCTCTTTTACATTTCAAATTACCCCTTTACAAATTACATCTATGTTCTATATAGTTGCGCCTAGTTACTTTCTTGATCGAAAGTTCCGGCTTCAAAAGTTTATGTTGTTGTGCCGTCGGGTTTTAGATCCATACTTTCTTCATTGAAATCATATTGTTTTTGTTCTTGTGTTCTCTTGTCGGCTCTTATCCAATCATCCACGCATACTTGGGCTTCAAGTGACTCGAGAGCCAATTGTGATCGCCTATCATCCAAAATATTACCTCCGGAGCTAAATGCTCTTTCAACGTACTGTTGTTGAAGCTAGTACAGCAAGTATTTTTCTAGCTATTATGGACGGGATCTGGAAAGGTTCTTGCATGTCTTTTCCACCAATCAATTACTTCAAAATCTACACTCGCATTGCTATCACCAAACTCAAACATAGTTGTTAGATAAATATCAAGCTCGGAAGTGGAGCTCGATGATCCTCTTGGCCTTTTTGTCCTTTCTATGGCCATAAGATAACCGGTTCTAACACGTTGGCTACTTGATGATGATTATGGCATAGGTGGTAAAGAGGAACTAGCATGTTGATCACCCACGAGTTAAAGACATTTTAATATATAAATCTCTCACTTGTTTTATAATAGAAGCAGTTTCTATTTCTACATTTTTATCAAATAATTGCAAATACTCATAATAAGTATTCAAAATAGCAGAAAGACCTTCCATTTTAAATCTAGGATCAAAGACTAAAGCAATAAGATAAATAGGTGGAATTGTTTCATAATAACTTAACCATTTTTGTTTCATTATTTGAACGACGACATGTAAAGTTGGCATATCTTGTTCTACATAATTAAAAGCTTCAACAATATTAATTGCTTCAATCATAAATAAATGTGAAGTTGGTTGATAAACGGCACTAAAAGTGTATGTTGTATTGTTAAAAACACTTAAAAGTTCCAAAAGTGGTTCACAAATATCAAAATCATTTTGACAAATAAAAACAGAATCAATATTTTACGAAACAATGAGCATAATAAATCTCGATATTCAAAAGATCGCCTAAGTAAGTCATAAGTTGAATTCCAATGAGTTGGAACATCTTTTGAAAATTGTCTTGGTTTTTTATTTTTTCCTTTGCAAAACTTTCTCCATTATTTCATCTTTTGGGGATGTGTCCATAAATATTTAGCAAGAGCTTTAATTGGCCTAATAATATCTTTAAGATATTTCAAACCAGATTGCACACATAAATTTAAAACATGACATACGCATCTAATATGGAAAAACTTAACTCCAAGATGCGGTTGACAAAGTTCTCTTAAAGACTCTACTGAAGCATCATTAGAACTAGCATTATACGGTTGACAAAGTTCTCTTAAA